CTTCAGTGCAATTGTCAGACTCCAGATATTGATTTTTTCCCCTTTAAGTATCTTAGAAAATAGACCAGAAAACACAGCTGTTCATTTAGTTTGTCTTTGATAACAGCATTAAAGTCATTTCCCTGTGGCATTAAGATTAAATTTAAACCACTCTTTTATTACCTAAAGATTTTTAACACAGAATTACATTTGTTTACTTCATTAACAGAAACCATAGTCTCAGAAAAATAGCAATCCTTCCCTTTTTAATTTTTTTTTAAAGAGGGATTTTTGCCATAGAGTGTGTGTGCCTGCCAGAGCAACAAAGAAAGACAGAAAGTGAGAAATCACCCCCAAGGAGGGATGGCCACACTGAAATCCCTTCTCCTCCATTCTCCTCTAGAATTTTTGGCACACACACATATTTGCTTTATCACTTTGTTTATGGTATCTTTTGACAAACAGAAATTCTTAATTTTTAAATTTACCAGAGGACACGTGTGCTTTCCAGAGAGACACAGAAAGAGAGGGAAAATGAGAAAGTAACCTCCATGGGTAATGGTCATGCTGCAATCTTTTCTCTTCCATTTCTCCCTATTTTTGAGATTTTAGGCACACACACACTCACACATCTGGTGTGTTTCTCAAGCTACTGGGTCAGGGAATTGAACCATGCTGTCAGCCATGTGGGATCTAGCCATCTTAATCACCACACTACTAGCTGGCCCTAGAAATTCTGAGGGTTTTTTTTTTTTTTAATTCTTACTTTTAATGTAGTCATACTTATCAACCTTCTATTTTATGGTTAGCAAACTCTGTGGGTTATTTAGAAAATTCTTTCTCTTTCTCCCCATTCCATGTCAAAAAATGTTCTCCTATATTTTCTTCTAAAAGTTTTAAGCTACTACTCTTCACATTTAAATCTTTGATCCACCTAAAATATGTTATTATAAATGGTGTGAGGTAAACATCAAATTTCATATTTTTCCCTCTGTGGAATACAGATAGTTCCAGTGTGATTTAATGACAAGATCCACTGCTCTGCCATGTCAGCCAAGCTACATATCAAGTTTTCACATGGCTGTGGTTTTTAGGCTCTATAGTCTGTTGTAGACTAGGTATTTTTTCTACTCCAATATGGTGGCATCTTAATAAAATAGTTTTATAAAACAATTTAATATATGGTGGGACCAGCAGTTAGTGTAATGGCTATGTCGTTGGATTTGCATGTAGTTGACTGCGGTTTGCATCCCGGACCTGGTGGCTTAAAACTCACGCAGGGCGCGTGTGTGTGCAGATCCTGAGAGGAGAACGGAGGAGAAGGGATTGTGGCGTGGCCATCCTCCCTGGGGGGTGATTTCTCTCTTTCTATCTCTCTGTCTCTCTCTGTCTGTCTGGCGAGCACACATGCCCCATAGCAAAAACCTCTCCAAAAAAAATACCCCACAAAAAACAATTTAATATGTGGTAAAGCAAACTCTTAGCTTTAATATAAACCTTAACCTCTAGTGTGTGCATGCACATACATACGCATTGTATAGAATTGTCTCAAATTTGTCTTTATGTGAACCAGCTTTTTAAATTTATTTATTTATTTTTTTGAGAGGTTTTTGCTATAGGGTGCATGCGCTCGCCAGGCAGACAGAGAGAGACAGAGAGACAGAAAGCAAGAAATCACCCCCCAGGGGGGATGGCCACACCGCAATCCCTTTTCCTCCATTCTCCTCTCAGGATCTTGGGCACGCACGCACACGTGCGTGGCATGAGTTTAAGCAAGGATTAAATAAGATAACAAGTGGAAACTATATAGAACAGAAGGTATTTGAATAGTAAATATTCAATAAATATTGTTATTGTGATCTGCAGACAAATGGTGAGAGTATGTCAAAACACTGGTTTTCGGTAACATATCTTTTTTTTTTTTTTTGGAGAGATTTTCGCTATAGGGCGTGTGTGCTCGCCAGACAGACAGAGAGAGACATAGAGACAGAAAGCGAGAAATCACCCCCCAGGGGGGATGGTCACCCCGCAATCCCTTCTCCTCCATTCTCCTCTTCAGATCTTGGGCATGCATGCACACGCGCCTGGCGTGAGTTTTAAGCCACCGGGTCCGGGACGTGAACCGCGGTCGACTACGTGGGAGTCCAGCGACATAGCCATTACGCTAACTGCTGGTTCCCAGGTAACATATCTTTTCTTTGAGGCTCAGAAATTATTTAAAAATAAAACAAGTGGGACTGGCAGGTGGTGTGGTGGTTAAGAATGCTGGACTCCCACATGGACAACCACGCTTTCAAGTCCTGGACCTGGCTGGTCAAAATAAAATAAATAAAGTTAAATAAAGTAATTCTTTGAAACAAAACAAAAACAAGCTACAGTAGTTTCATGATTCATGGCCACAGAGAGACAAAGAAAGTGAAAGACAAAGAAAGAGACAGTGAGGGAAGGTGGGAACCCCCCCACCCCCTGGGAGGATGACTATGCCACAATCCCTTCTCCACTCTCCTCCTGAGATTTTGGGCATGTACACACACACACCTGGCATGATTTTCAAGCTTCCAGGTCTGGGACTCAATCTGCACTGTCAGTCCAGTGCCTTAACTACTATGCCACCTGCTGGCCTTGATTCATGGCTTTTCTGTTGGGGTTAACTTGGCTGCTAGAATTGGCAACCTCTCCTAAATTCGAATTTATTATCAATATCTAAATTAGTATAGCTATTATGGGAAATAATATGGTGGTTTTTAAAAAAACTAAAATTAGAAATGCCATATAATCTAGGAATTCTACCACTAGACATATATCTGAAGGCAAGGAAATCAGAATGCCATAAAGATATCCGCACACCAGTGTTTATTGCAGGATGACTCACAATACCCTAGATAGGGAATCAAACTAAATGTCTATCAACAAATAAACAGATAAAGAAAATGGTACTGGGAACCAGCAGTTAGCATGGTGGGCTATGTCGCTGGACTCCCACGTAGTCGACTGCGGTTCACGTCCCAGACCCACTGGCTTAAAACTCACACCGGGCACATGTGCGTACGTGCCCAAGATCCCAAGAGGAGAATGGAGGAGAAGGGATTGCGGCGTGAACATCCTCCCTGGGGGTGATTTCTCGCTTTCTGTCTCTATGTCTCTCTCTGTCTGTCTGGCGAGCGCACGCGCCCTATAGCAAAAACCTCTCCAAAGAAAAAAAAAAAAGAAAATGATACTCACATGTGCACACATATGAATACTAGTCAGGCATTAAAGAGAATGAAATTGGGACTAGCATATGATGTAACGGTTACTTTGCTGGATACCCACATGGTTGAACTAAGTTCGAGTCCTAGACCTGGCGGCTTAAACTCATGTTGGGTTCGTGTGCGTGTGTGCCCAAGATCTCGAGAGGAGACTGGAGGAGAAGAGATTGTGGTGTGGTTATCCCCCAGGGGGTGATTTCTCACTTTCTCTCTCTGTGTCTCTGGTGAGCGCATGTGCCCCATAGCAAAAATTTCTCCTTAAAAAGAAAAAAAAATAAAAAGAATGAAATCCTGTCATTTGAGGTAAAATGCCAGAGTCTAGAGGGCCTCATATTAAATGAAATAAGCCAAGCATGGAAAAGAAATACCACATATTCTCACTCATATGTGGAAATTAAAAAGCCAATGACTGTGTAGAAGTAGAGTTGAAGAATGACTATCATAAGCTGAGAAAAATAGTGGGAGGGGGAGATAGAGGATGTTGATCAATGGAGATAATACTATAGATAAATAAGAGGAACAAATTCTAGTTATAAGATACCATAGGATGAATATAGTTAGTGACAATTTACTGGCTATCTCAGAGTACCTAAACAAGAGGATTTTGAATGATCCTAAGATAAAGTAATGACAAATGGCTGAGATGATTGATGTACTAACCACTCTGATTTAATCAACACACACTGTATTCCACAAATATGTATGATTATTCTACGCCAATTACAACATATTAAAAAAAGGTCCAACATTTGGGATCTATTCTAGTGTATAGAGTTAGCTTATATGTAAAGAGGGAATATGAAGATAAAAAAAGCATCCAGCCTCCCCTGAGAGGCATACCTGTTTCTATTTTTGTTTCTTGGACCAATACATGTGTGTATGTTTTTAAGTGTGTGTGTATGTATATCTAAAGGAGTGTTGGGAAGGATGCCTCAATCTCTTATTCTCTTACTTATTTATTAAATAATTTTTTCTTTTTTCTTTTTTTTTTTTTTTACATGTGACTACTGTATATCAGTATATGCATATATAGAGAACTTCCCCAGCAGGAAAAATGAATTTTTTGGGAAGAGATTTATATTATAGTATGCATGCACTCGCCAGAGAGACAGAGAGAGACAGAAAGCCAGAAATCACTCCCCAGGGAGGATGGCCACACTGCAATCCCTTCTCCTTCATTCTCCTCTCAAGATCTTGGGCATGCACACTCATGCCCAATGTGTTTCAAGCCGCCAAGTCTGGGACTTGAACTGTGGTCGACCATATGGGAGTCTAGTGATGTAACGATTACACCATCTGGCCTGGAAAAAGGAATTTTTACTTTTCAATATCTAAGATATTTTAGTTGTTATTATTAGGATATATTGTTTCTAAAATAAAATTACTATTAAGAGTTCAACTCCAACACCTAGAAACATTTGTGTGAATAGATTTGAAATAATTTATCATTAAATGGCTTCACATAAAGCTACTTATCATTTAAGAACACAAGACTGGGGCCAGCAGGTGGCGTGGTGGATAGAGGCGTTGGATTCCCACATGGCTGACTGTAGTTCAAGTCCTAGATCTGGCGGCTTGCTTTTCTGCTTTCCCTTTCTCTCTCTCTGTCTAGTCAAATTGGAGAATTATATTAATAACAAATGGAATTAAATAAATGATTCTATAAAAAGAAAAAAAAGAGAACACAAGATCATGAAAAATAATCTTCCTGACCCATAAAAGATAATTCATTAAAATTCTTATCAGTCATCTTACTTTTAAGATAATTCTTACCATCGTTGGCGGGCTCTTCAACCGGAGACGCTGAGTCCATATACTCTAGAATTTCCTTTGTGATCTCAACGACCTGAAGTCTCCTGACCCTGAGTAGGTCTGTATCTTTCAATCCTTCCTCCAATTGTTTGACCACTTCTTTTCCAGGGTGAGAAGTCAGAACAGTAATCTGAAAATAAATCTGAGCGTCAGTGTGTCTATTCTCCCTGATATACCGAGGGAGGACCGTAAAGACATCTGGAGGATAAACAGTAGAAATCTGTGGTAGTAGCTATTTTGTTTAGTGCAAAGAGGAGGGTTTAACTCTAATTTACAAATCAAATTTAAAATGATGGATTTGGGGGGAGACAGTACCTTTCCAATCAGGCTAAGTTGACCATAGACAGTGGCATGACATCCTATCTGTGTTTCAGATTTTTAAGATTGCTTGAGAACAGCAGGTGGAATAATGATTATGTCACTGGACTCCCACATGGTTGACTGTGGTTTGAATCCTGGACCTGGTGACTTGAAACTCACACTGGGCACATGTGTGTGTGCACCTAAAATCCCAAGAGGAGAGCGGAGGAGAATGGATTGAGACATGACTGCCCCCCCCGCCCCTTGGGGGTGATTTCTTGCTTTCAGTCTCTCTGTCTTTCTCTGTCTCTCTGATGAGCACTTGCATCATATAGCAAAACAATCTCTGAAAAAAAAAGAAAAGATTGCTTTAGAGTCAACCTAGTGGCATGGTGGTTGGATTCCATATGGCTTAATGCACAGTTCAAGTCTCAGACCAGGCAGCTTGAAAATGTGCCAGGTGTATGTATGTGCATTCCCAAAATCCCAACGGGAGGGGGAAATGAAAGAAGGGATTGTGGCATGACCATACCCCATGAAGGGTGTTTTCTCATTTTCCTACTCTTTCTTTCTGTCTCTCTGCAATGAGTACACTTGTCCCCTATCAGATTATTTAAAAAAAGGAAAAATATTGTTTTAAGCACTACCAACATCTCACCTGTTCAAACTGTTTTAATTTTTCAAGAAAACAAAGGAAATAGGATCCTTAAATTTTGCTCAGTACATATGTACTAAATGTTAAAGGGTCTATATGCCCCTTTCTCTCAGTGTTATCAGACTGATTTCTCTCCTTGCTTAACCTGGATCCAAGTCAGGTTTTAAATGTATTTTTATTTTGGGGCTGGCAGGTGGCATGGTGGTTAAGGGCACTGGATTCCCATATGGTTGACTGCAGTTTGAATCCCAGACCTGGCTGCTTAGTTTTTTACTTTCTTTCTCTCTCTGGTCAAAGTAAAAATAATAATAATAAGTAAACTTAAATAAAATAATTCTTTAAATATTTATTTATTTTGCCTTTCACTTTCTTGATATGTTTTATTATTTATTATTTTTTAATTAAAAATTTATTTTTATTTTAGTTGTTTCTTTCGACTCCAAAATGTACTTATCCTTGACCAGTGTGCTTAAATGTTGTTGATTAATGAGAGGAATGCAGGTGAAAGTACAATTATTATTATTATTATTTTTAGGTTTTTGCTATAGGGCATGTGTGCTTGCCAGAGAGAGACAGTGAGAGGGAAAGTGAGAAATCACCCCCAGGGAGAATGGCCATGCCATAATCCCATTTCCTTTATTCTTCTCCTGGGATATTGGACATGCATGCACATGAACCTGATGTGATTTTCAAGCTGCTGGGTCAAACCACAGTTGGCCATGTGGGAGCCCAGTGCCATCACCACTACATCATCTGCTGGCCCCTATTACTATTATTTTAAAAGACTTTAATTTTTTAGAGCAGTTTTAGGTTCACAGCAAAACAGAGAGGAAAAATTCTCTGTGTTCGACCTTCAACTTCATCCTTCCCTCTGCCCTAACCCCTGGAAACCATATATATATTTTTTTCACTTGTCTTCATAGTTTTGCCATTCCCAGAATGTCATATGAAATTATACCATATGTATGTAATTTTTCCTCTATGTAGCCTTTTCAGATTAACTTCTTTAATTTAGTACTATGCATTTAAGATTCTTCCATGTATTTTCATGGCTTGATAGCTCATTTCTTTTTCGTTATGAGTAATATTTAATTATCTGGATATATCACAGTTTATTTACTCATTCATCTACTCAAGGACATCTTGATTCCCTCTAAGTTTTGGCAACTATGAATAAGGCTGCTGTAAACACCATGTGAAGGTTGTGGGTGGATATAGGTTTTCAACTCTTTTGGGTAAATACCAAGAAGCACGATTGCTATATTGTATGGTAAGACCATGCTAAAGTTTTGTATTAAACTGTCAGACTGTCTTCCAATGTGGCTGTACCATTTTGCATTCTTGCCAGCAATGAATGAGAGTTTCTGTTACTCTGCATTCTCACTAGCATCTGGTGTTACCAGGGTTTTGAATTTTAGTCATTCTTTTATTTTATTTTTTAAAGAGTTTTAAATTTAATTCTATTTTTATTATTTTAAATAATTATTTCCTTTATTTTATCTATCATTATTATTTTTAATTTGACCAGAGCGAGAAACACACACACACACACACACACACACACACACACACACACAGAAAGAGAGAGAGAGAGAGAGAGAGAGAGTAAGCTGCCAGGTTCGAGACTTGAACTATGGTCAGCCATGTGGGAGTCCAGTGACTTTAACCCACACACCACCTGCTTGACCCTTATTATTAGTATTAATTTGGTAAAGGGCATGTGCACTCACCAGGGAGAGAGAGAAAGTGAGTCATCAGACCTTTTTTTTTTTTAAAGAATGATTTTATTTAACTTTATTTATGTATTTGTTTTATTTGACCAGAGAGGGATAGAGTGTGGGGGTAGGGGGTAGTGAGAAAGCAAGCTGCCAGGTGTGGATCTTGAACTGTGGTTGGCCATGTGTAGTCCAGCTCCCTTAACCACCATGCCACTTGTCGGCCCCCAGGTCCAGGATTTGAATCATGTGGGAGTCCAGTGCCTCAACCATCACACCACCTACTGGCCCTGAATTTTAGCCATTCTAATAAATGTGTTATGATATCTATCTTTTTAAAAAAAATTTACATTTCCTAGATGATGATACATGGTGTAGAACATTTTTTCATTTGCTTGTTTGCCATCTATGTACCTTCTCTGGTGAGGAGTCTGCTAAGATCTTTGGCCAGTTTTTACATGTGGTTGTTTGTTTTCTTTTTCCTTTTCCTTTTTCTTTTTATTTACTTATTTACTTTATAGAGAGAATTTTAAAAAAATCTCTTAATGTCCCCGACCTGCGTCCTTCTTCGGAATCTCCGGGAACCTGTCGCAAATCCCTTCAGCTCAAGTCCCTGTTCGGGTGCCAGAATGTCCCCGACCTGCGGGAACTTATCGGGCAGGGAAACTCGAGCGAGGGGGCGGAGGTCTGGAACCGGCGCAGCGTCTCAGCACGGGAGCGAAAGAAGTATCACAGCTCACACAGTGTCACAGCTCTTGATGGTGTAAAGGTTTCGCTCATTTATTGAGGGCTAGAGCACTTTCTTATATACACAAGGCAGAGGGAGGTAGGCGGGGGTTGCCGCGGACGCCACGGA